CCTCTAAAATTCATTAGGAAGATTGAAAAACGCCAAAAGAAAAATAAAAATAATTGTGAAACTAGTAATAATAACATAAATAAGAGAATATAAGTCATCTACAGTTATACCATATAAAGAGGGGACATCTGAGACCCTACGTAGGATTCTAAATAAAGCAGGAATTACGGTGGCATTTAAACCTAAAAACTCACTCAGGGACAAGCTCTGTAGGCTAAAGGACCCGGTGGACCCAATTAAACAAAATAATATAATTTACAAAATACCTTGCAATGACTGTGAGGTCAACTACATAGGTCAGACTAGTAGGTCAGGGGTAGTCAGATTGTCAGAACATAAGAATTTAGCTAAGGTAAGAATGGTTGACCCCGAGAAGATAAGTAATTTAGAAAAAAGCTCGGCAATTGCAATGCATGCATTAACGCACAACCACACAATAGGGTGGGAGAGGGTTAAAATTCTAAAAAGTAATCTAGGTAGGTGGAGAGAGAGGTTGATTACTGAATCCTTGTTCATCGAATCTACACCCAACACATGCAATAGGAATGATTCATCACTAATACCCGAAATATTGAAAATATTACTATCAATCAAATCAAGTGAAAAACAACAAGTGAAAAAAACACTGTGAGGCTTTATCAAAACAAAATTTACCCATAATGGAATTACACTCTACCACAAGGCACAGGTTATATTCTTAAATCGACAGCAGATATTCTATTTTATAATTTTAAGTACCTGAAGAGGAGAAATTATTGAAAAGAATATTCTTCGTTCAGAGTGACTTTTAAATCTCGACAAACCAACTCTTGAAAACATGTTTTCATATTTCAACATTTTTCATTCAGTCTATTATTCTGACAACACTTTACTCATCTTATATCTCAGTCATATTATTCTCACATATTCACATTTCTGAATGTGAATGCTACAGGATGGAATTTCCTAGAGTTCTAGTGAGAAGTCGTGACCAGTGAGGTTCATCCTGTCAAGTATGAGAATGGATGTCCCACCGATGACATTGGTTGGTGCCAGTCGCGCGAAATCACGAATTGGTAGAAGTTAGAATTCATGGATTGGCCATTGAATCGGGTCCCAGTGGCTGAACGGTATACGAGCTCGCTGGCCTTGTAACCAGAAATTCCTGGGTTTGAACCGCCTGTGGTGGGTGCGTACTGCCGATGATCCCGAAACTAGAATAAAACAGGTGTCCCATACTCCCTAGTTTTTTTCAATGGTCCTCTAAGTGATATCAATCTGTGATCAACTCGTCAAAACGAATCTAATCCTTACAAATCAACTATTGAAAATTTCTGAATGTACTTTATTTTCCGATCATCTATTTCACACATGTTTATTGAACTTTAGTTTGACTTCAATTTATTTAGTTATTCATTCTTATACTTAATCAATTGTGACTCATAATCATATACACCAATTCTGGGACAGGATATCTGGAAAATTCTACTACCCCTACGACAAATAGGAGAAGACAAAGAAAACTATAAAACTCAAGTTTCGAAGTCGTGTGATTATAATTGAAGATATGATTATGAACAATAAATTTTGTTCGAAACGTCATCCAGTAAATAATACTGTTTCACTGACTGTGTGATCCATCTAATAAACAAACTAATATGGAATTACTTACTACCACAGTGCCAAGTTTTACACATATATTAACATATACACCAATATTATTATTATATTTAGCACTGTCAAACTTTAACATACACAAGAAAACTTATTATGATTATCTACTGTAATTTATATATATATATATCTTTATTCATATATATATTACTTTTCCTTCACGTTCCCCAGTGGAACATAAAGCTTCAAGCTAATGGCTTGAAATTTCTGGAGCAGAGTTTATTTTACAGGATGGGGTTGCTAACCTCATGCCCAACCTTCCCTCTTCACCAGCATTATTTCTGGTTTAGCGAGGTAAAGGATTGCGTCAGCCGGGGATTGAACCCCGGACCATGTGCATGGTCGGCGAGCGTCCTAACCGCTATGCCACCGACGCTTGTATATATATATATACGATTGTACAACTATGAAAATGAAGTCTACGAAAAGAGAGTTTCCTTCGCTGAATTATTTGTTGTCATTCTTGTGTTGGTTTGCAGGGATTTGATTATTATAATAATTGTTTCCTTTAATTCCTAGAGGAACATAGGGCTTGAGCCGTGCGTCTCCATTGCGTTCGGTTCTCTGCTAGAGTCTTCACCGGGCTCCATGTCTGCCCACACGTTTTCATCTCCTCTTCACATGACCTCCTCCAAGTCACCCTTGCACTGACGACCAACTCGCCGCTTCCCTTTCGGGTTCCACTCGAGCAATGGCTTGTCTAGTGATGTCACTTGATGGTTTCCTCAGAGTATGGCCAATCCATCTCCATTTCTTCCTGCCTATTTGTTTCACAATCGGTCCCTCTGAGTTGGTTCGCTCATTGCCAGATATCTCTGTTGCTGATCTTTTCTGGCTGGCCATCTGATCTTGAGTATTGAGCGAAGACAACTGTTAATGAAGGTGTGTAGCTTGTTTGAGGTGCTCTTAATGACGCGCCAAGTCTCTGATCCGTATGTTAAGTAGCACTGACTTCACATTGGAGTTGAAAATCCGGATCTTATTTTTGATGCTGAGTGCTGTTGACTTCCACACAGACTTGAGAGTAGTGAATGCAGGGATTTGATTGGTAATAGGAATTCATCATGAACTGACATGGATTGTAGAACCATTGGAAAACCAACAGGGAGTACTGGACAATTATCTCTTCCTAGTTTTGGACTCTTCATCAGTACACACCCACCAGTGTTCCGACCCAGGACCTTCTGGTTACAGGGCGAGGTAACTCGTAGACCATTCAGCCACTGCGACCTGACTCAGTGGCCACCGCATGAATTCCAACTTCTGCAAATTCTCGATATAGCGCAATCACAAGAGCTAATGTTTGTTTTTCCGTCTCAATGGGAACTATTAATTTAATTATAAAGTAGAAGTCATTACTTATGTAATTAAATATATATTTTGTTTCTTCAAAATTTCTATGCACTCTGATACGTGAAAGCCAATACACTGAATAAATTTTGTACAATGTAATCTAAGAGTAATAAACTGTCATTAGTATTATTATTGTTATTACTACTATTAATTATTGCTGTGAAAAATGTTTGCATACAAAGATGTTTCAACCAATTTCCATCGAAACTTATGAGTTGTTCACAAAGACTGTTCATTACTTCATACCTTAATCCAGAGTTTGGTATTACGCAATCAGATGTTCTTTTTCTACTGCACCCTGTAAAATAAAAGAATTATTAAGCAAATAAATAAACTAATAATAGCGTTAGGAATATTAAACTATCATGATTACCGCCATTATTCCCTTGGGTTCCAGTTGGAACGTAGGGACTCAGTAAGGCATCGTCATTTCATTCTATTGTCTGCAGTTATTCCTAACTAGCTACGTGACTACCCATACTCTTCCATTCCATTCTTACATGAATTCCTCCATCTCACTCTCGGACCTACATGGAACCAGTCGTTTCCCATTCGGGTTCCACTTGAAGGCCTCGTGTGTGATATCCTTCCACAATCTCCTTAGTATATATCCAATTCATCTTCATTTCTATCTGCATATTTGTTGGTTGGTCAATAGGTTCCTGGTTGATTTCCTTCTTGCTTATACTTTCTGGATGGTCATCTGATCTCTAGCAGCGGGTGAAGAGAGCTAGCTATTGATGAAGGCCTGAGGTAGACTGCTGAAAGTTCTTTTTGTGTTACCTGTGTCAAGTGCCTGAACTATACAGAAGCATTCCACTGATTTAGCCTTACTGTTGAGAATACGGATTTTATTTTTCGTCCTGAGTGCATTTACTCTGTATACTAATGGGATTATTGAAGTTGAACTACGCACATGGGTTGTGGTGAGATTTACTTGATTACCTGTGAATTACTGGTTCGGTTATGTAGAAACTGAACTACGTTACTCAGGTAGTCATGAGGTGTTCGTTTCACCTTTTGTAATTACCGAGTGACATTACATCAGTTTGACGAAATAAGGACATCTTAAGATAATAATAATAATAATCTACTTTATTCCAAAAACAGTAATTATAATACAGAATGGAATTCTCAGCATTTATCACAATATTGCATCTGATTTACTCAAAATATAAATAAAATTAAAAATTAAAACAAAATTAACCAGAGGAATTTGTCCACATTTACGACATAAGGTCAAAAATATTCGAAGCACGAAATGAGATTATTAAGTAGAATAATAATAATAACAGTGAGTTTGTTTCAAACGGTATTGTCGATTCAGTTTGGAAACTTTAGCATGTTATAGATTATTGGATCTAATGTTCTGTTGATATAGTATGGTGAGGGAAAATACCAAATTAACAGTTATAACACAGCTTAAATTATGTCCACACTTATGAGAAAAAATAAACAAAACAAAAAAATTGAGAGGATTATAAATATAAGAAATACAATAACAATAAAGTTTGATGCTTTAAGGGTGGAGGAAATGGTTTATTTAGTGGTGCAAAGAAGGTTAGTTAGTTCATGCCTAACACTATTTTCATCACATAAAGTACGTGCTAAATATGGTATAGTGGAATTTTTATACTTAGACGTACGTGCATAAATTCTTCTGAAAAGGCTTCTTGTTTTACCTGAGGAGACACAAGGTTGGAGCTGCGGGTAGAGTGGGTGCTCAGAGTCTGACGAAATTCCTTTAGCGAATTTGTTGCATGACATCAAGTGCCTATCAGTGACAATGTCAACGATATGGCCCAATGGGATACCACTCGTCCTACTGACAGTCTTCAGAGTTCTACGAAGTATGACATAGTCTTTTTTAAGCAATCCAGGAAAGAATAAGGGTGAACAGTAAAGAAGAATAGGTAAAATACACGAGTTGACAAACTGTAAGAGGAGTGGTTGAGTTATGCCTGAGTGCCTCAACTTCTTAATGTAAAAAGTCAGACGAAATATTCTTTTAGAAATCGCTAAGACATGAGAGGACCAGGATAGGTCAGAAGAGAGAATTAATCCAAGATACTTAACTTCAGACTTGGTTTCTATATCAGTATCATCAATTTTGCAAGGGTCATAGGGACCAACAGCTTCATTTAACTTTCTTTTACATCGGAAACTGAAATTAACAGTCTGACATTTGGAAGGATTTAGTTTAAGGCCGTTAGACGAAGACCATTTGCTAATTCCTGATAGAAAGCTATTCATCTTAGTACAGTCAAGATGCGAGTAAAGCTTTCAAATTCAATTCGTTTTAAAATCTTTTGACAACAGTCTGAACACATTCTAAAGTGTCACTTCCTGAAAATGTACTAGCTTCAACTCCACATGAATTAGCACTGGGGATTACGCCCAAACTTGTTATTGAAAAGTCTCTCGAAGAAAGCTACAGCTCACAGGGCGAAAGAAAATGCCAGAATATCCACTGACTAATTTATAGAGTTTCCATAATCGAGATGAACTTGAAAGAAGAGTAATCCTTGTTTTACCTTTTTCCGGTTCATTAAGGCATAAGAAAGGATTTGAATAAACCAGTTCGAACTCAGCATCTAATGACTGGCTCCTCTACTGTACCCCTTTAGTTTCAACTGAAAGAGATCGAGTGTATATGCAACCATCGTTGATTCAAGTTTGGCCATCGCTTCCCTTCATATCTGAATTTGGCATGACATGGGAACAAATATGTATCTAGGCACAAATATTAACGATCAACGTATCGGTTGTCTTTACTGAGATTCTAAGTGTCTCGCTATATGTGCATCCTAATCATTCCATGTGGTGCTCGCATCTGAATATTTAATTTTCTGTAGTAGGCCGGTCATTTCCTGGCTAAACTCACTCTTTATTTGGACTATGTTAAAGATAAGGTCAAATTATTAAAATGGACTGAATGATTCATCTCAGTGGACCTGATTTTATGGGCTACTCCTGGTGTTTACAGTCGTATAATAATAATAATACTCGCAATGGAATATTTAGGAATAGGACATAACCTGAAATCCACAAAGTCACACGCTGAAATGATATTAGATGGTTGGAGGTAATCGGCGGGAAGCCTTGGACCTAGGTTTCGTGCTAGTTGGCACTCGTCAGCAAGGCGTATCTGCAACCTTGAAGGAACTCATGTCCCTTCTGTGATTCGAACCCGCATCACCCAGTGAGTACTGCAGTCAGACACGTTACCATTGAGCTATTCGGGCTCGCGATTGACCTCCTGTAGGACTGTAGTGGATATTTTAATTTGTTACTAGTAACTAGCCTTGCTGACAAGTGCCAACTAGCACGAAACCTAGGTCCAAGGCTTCCTGCCCATTGCCTCCAACCATCTAATATCATCAAATCAATGTGCACTGTGATGGCGAGCTACCTAGAATGGTGGCCAAATTACAACCTGACTGATCGAATTCAGCCTGCACCAAAGAGAGGATTAGACACATCACACTAGTTACTAGTGTCAAATCAAAATATCACACTCTGAAAACTAGCAACCGAAGACGGTCAGCACTATATGACTCATTCGACTTTCAAACAATGAGGCCGGAGTTCGAATACTGCTCCACTCAATTTAGACTGGGTAACTGGGTAGGTCTATCAACCCTCACACAATAATAATTGTGTGGTTCGCAGCGTGGTACATGAAAAAATATGTTGTGAGCAACTTAGTTGCACCTAAATTCATTTTCCTGTCATGCAAACTAATACTCACTACCTTCTTTTGGTTTGAGGCAGATGTGGAATTAGTTTCAATAATGTTCTCTCCGATTTGTTGATATTAGATGGGTGGAGGCGATCGGTAGGAAGCCCTCTACCTAGGTTTCGTGTTAGTTAGTACTCGTCAGCAGGGCGTATCTGGATTCTTGAAAGAACTCATGTCCCTCTTCGGACTCAAACCCGTGTCACCCAGTGCTGCAGTCGGAGACATTACCACTGAGCTATTCGGGCCACCGACTGATTTCCTGTAGGACTGCACTAGATACTTAGATTGGACACTAGTAACTGGTGTGATGTGCGTAGAATGGCGGCCACATTGCGAACGTGACTGACAGAATTCTTTTTGCACCAAACAAAGGACTAAACATATCACGCCAGTTATTCGTGTCCAATCAGAGATGTTCACTCTCTTTATGCTATCACACTGTTCTACCCATAGAATTATTAAGTTAATCATTTCTGCGGTTAAATAAACGAGTAATCAGAAATGTGGCATACTGGAGTACACATTTAATAGTTTGTCTCTTTGGTGCAAATTCTGCTCAACATAATCTTATCAACTTTCCGACTTCAATTACGCTTTGTCGTCATTCACAGTATTTACAGTCCGGACAGTTTAATTACAGTAAGGAATTTGGAAGTGGAATATTAATCAGTCAGACTAAAGATATCCTCACCCATACACCGGAAACCAGTGGAATTGGAATCAAGCAGATCTGTATTTAACAATTCCCAATAAGATACTTTTAGATCATGATTTACGCAAGCAAATACGCATTTTTGGTAATTTCTCAGTCAGGTTTTACGATTACATAATAAGATATAATTCAGAGACATTTGAAACGATGTAGCGCAATAGGATCATTTAGAATCAGTTGGACTGTAGGAAGAATCATAATAAAAAACTTGTGAAACTTAGATTAAAATACACAACTATAGCACAGCATAACATCGAAGTTAACAGTATAAATAAAAATAAAATTAATGTTTAGAGTTATTCGGCGTCACTGGGAGAGATAAGAATTCCAGTTTGGAGTTAAAGGCCATGGGAGGGAGGGAGATTGAACAGACATTTTCTGTCCACAAAGACTGGGCTGAAAATTTCTTATGGCTACTGCTTCAGCTATGTCTGGTAATCGAAGGCCTACAAACTTAGGGGATTGAGGTGGCACCTTGTATACAATTGTAAAGGTTGAATTTATATCAGTCTTTTGCTTCGTATCTACAAGGTGTGTCAATATAGAACTTCTGGTTAACTTTACGACTCCTTTCCCTAATCACGTTGGATAATGCTCAAGAGAGTGACGACGGGCCTTCCGAGTCTTTCTACCTGTGTAACTGTCTTCACAAAAACGGTTAAATTTATAAATGCACACTGACTTGGCTAGACTCGGTATCTTATCCTTCCCCTGCATTGGAATTATACAGCGACTGGTGAATTTTAAACATAACGTTGTGTCATATGATGTTTTAGCTATTATGTTTTGGAGTTTAGATGCCAGTAATTCAGTGACTGTCTCCTTTGGACGGTAAAGTAGTATTTTAATCTTAGTCTTACAGTTGATTATTACTGTTCAGCTTAGATTCTCCTTGTTTATATTTGATTTTCAATGGTCCACATTGTTTCAAATGCCTCTGACTTCAAAGTTGTTAATGTTGGCGAACTGCAAGTCTTATATCCTACATGACCGGTGATGATTCCCCAACCAAAAGGTGAAGTACCTAGACTAGCCACTTCTAATTGTATCTACCAGTTCAAGTGCACTTGTGGTGGAGCGAGTTATATTGGCCGTTGCTCTAGGAACTTGATTTTTCGTGCTCACTCGGGAACATCTGCCAGTATGGCTAAGTAAAGGTGTAGTAAAAACCATCAACATTTCCACATTAGACCACCTGGTCACAAAGCCAGCATTGAAGAATCCTTCTCTATCATCTACTGGGTGCCAAATAAATTGCCAAAAACATCGAGGTACCACATGCTCCAAACAGCAGAGGCTATCGCGATTCGCATGAAACAACCAGTGCTTTGTGTGCAAAAGAAGCAAGTCCAGCTGCTACTACTGCCCTGGCCGGCCTTCAGTAGAGACTATAAATTCATAAATTTGAATTATTATCTTTCCTAATTTTTCTGACATTCAGTTTATTGTCATGTTGATGCTATTGAACTGTAATCCATCGAAATTATTATTGATTTGATGTTATTTAAACAGCATTAATGTTGTTAATAACACTAATTCATTCATTCACTATTATGTATATAAAACTGTAGAACCTGATGAAGAGCAGGTTATCGAAAAGAATGTTCTTTGTTCAGTAACCATTCTTTTGAAAAAAAATGATTTTAATGGGCATTTTTAACCACTTAAAATGTTGTGTAATTATACAGGCTGATGAGAATCCACGGAAAATACATATTTACTGGTTTAAATAGTCTTCTAAAATCTGTATTTCATAAATATCTAGATAGAGTCAGTCTGTTTTCACTTCACCATGAAACACGGATTTTGATGATGATGTCTATTATGACACCGAAATGTTTGCCAAACATTACTTCAAGTCAGACAATGACTTAAAATGAGCATAGACAAATATGAAATAATAGAGAAGATTTGTAGCTCAGGTGGATGATTTGCAATTAATAGTGTCTTCTGAGCTGGTTGGTTTAGTTGCGGAGCTTTCGTCGCCCTTCTGGAGAACATCTTAGGCTCAATTTTTAGCATGAAGTGAAATGATTTAAATTTCTTCAGGAGTGATATATTAGCGTCTCCCGGTAACCCTTCTTTACATATGTATTGGCCATTTTCTATTGACTTGGATTTTAAACTTTTTGGTCATCTGATTTACTTTTCATTTATTGGTATATTTCATCTATATTAACATGTTTGTTAATCGCATTTTCGTTTGAGTACCAGGCTTCTAGGAATTCCCTGACTGCACTTTTGGTGTTCCTCTGTCTAAGATTTCAACATTATCTCAATCATCAAAGTGATGTCCATAATTGTCTATATGCATTGATACTAAAGAATATATATATCATGTCTTTTCACGGCTGATTTGTGTTCCTGGATTCTGATTCGATGGGGACGACCACTTTGGCCGATGTAATGCCTGTTATAGTTTAATTGGGATAATGTCAAAATCTTAGACAGGGGAGACACTAAAAGTTCCAGGGAATCCCTAGAAGCCTAGTACTCAAACGAAAATGCAATTGACAAACACGTTAATATTGACGAAATATACCAACTAATAGAAAGTAAATCAGGTGACCAGAAAGTTTAAAATCCAAGTCAATAGAAAATGGTCAATACATATGTAAAGGTGGTTACCGGGAGACGCAATTCTATCATCACTCATGAAGAAATTTAAATCATTTCACTTTATGCTAAATATTGCGCTGAAAGGGGATGTTGTCCAGAAGGACGACGAAAGCTTCGCAACTAAACCAACCAGCTCAGAGAACACCATTAATTGCATAGACAATTATGCATATTATTTCGTTGACGTTGGTTAACGGCGAAATTTAGGATGCATGAAGCTGCTAGCAGCATCCCTACTGAAAGTACAAAGCTCATTTCTGTAGATCCCAGAGATTTCTCGCTGCGTTGTCTGTTGATGATTTCGAACGACTTGATATTTTTATTAGTAACGGTCGCATTATCTACTGAGTGGTATTATTAGTTATCTATTTTCCTGTATACCTAAATATTTACGTAAATAATTAACTATACTCGTAGCTTCAGTAAATTTTCATTCCGTAAATATGTGCCAGTTGGTAAATGGAGTTTCTGGTGAAAAATACTGGGATGCTACTTTTCAATAATTTTTGCATGACTTGTTTTAAGTTTGAACACAGGTTGATGTCAGTTAGAGAAACATCGGAAACCAGGAAGTACTGGACACCTGTTTTGTCCTAGTTTGCAAGTCTTCAAAAGTACGCATCTGCCGTGAACTGAACCGATGATTTTCTGTAAACAAGGTAAGCTCATAGACCACTAAGCCACCGAGACCCGACTAAATGACCAGTCCACTTATTCTAACTTCTACCAATTCGCGTTATATTAGAGCGATCACCATCAAATGTCATCGGCTAGTATTTTTCCTCAATGCTGACGGGGAAGGCACCAATAATCTAGTTGACACTGATCGATTAGTTTGACCTACGTAATTGACCTCACAGTCATTACATGGATTTTCATTCACTATATTATTTTTCTTAATTGGGTCTGTTGCCTCCCTAAGCCGACAAAGTTAATCTCTGAGTGAGTTGGTTGGTTCACATGTCACCCTAATTTCCGCCACATTTAGAATTCTACAGAAGACCTCAGATGTTCCGTCTTTATACGGCAGTACTACAGATGCTTTGAATTCTATGTTATTCTCGTCGTTTTCATTACCAGTCTTATTTTTCCTATGGTTTCTCGTACATTTCTGAAGAAATTCCGGTGAGTAGTCATGCACTGGTAATATTTTTTCTTTATTTGTTTGATTTCACTACTGAAATCCTCTGGCTTACTATTTACGCTCCTAGTCCGACATTTAACTAAACTTATCTTCCCCGGTTCTGGATGGGATGAAATAAAGTCTAAGTATTTATCGGAACATAAAAATTTACCTACAGCTAGAACTATTGATCCTGCTAAGTTAAATAATCTAGAAAAAAGCTTGGCCATTGCATTGCATTCAATTGCATGTAATCACACAATAAGTTGGGTGGGACAGGGTGAGAGTATTAAAAAGTAATATAGTTAGGTGGAGAGAGAGAGCTCAATCACTGAAGCTTTGTTTATCGATTCAGCACTGCACAAGCAACGCCTATATCGGAGATATGGAAAGTGGTAAGAAACAGCAAGGGGAGGATATATATATATATGTATATATAAAGCAAATCATGAAGCCATGTGACTAAAGTGACATGATTATGGACAATAATTTATGCTCGGAACGTCATCCAGTTGTTAATACTGCATCAATGTATGATATTTGAAATCAACTTATCTAATGTAAAAATGAGCCATATCTCCACTTCATCTAATGATATACCTATTGTTTGGGTAAATATGCATTTAGTTTACACAGCAGAACCAAACATTCTTAAGCAATCCTCCATCCTGTCACACAATCACAACAGCAGGAATGGAGGGCTGGGAGGGCTTATGTTTCCGAGAAACCAGCATGAATAAAACTTGTCATGAGAAAAGAAAATCTGTGATAATAATAATAACAATGTTTTCTCTTACCTAGTTTATTCACATTAAATATTTTGACCTTCACATATTCACATTCTTCTGCGGTTAAATTAAAGTCGTTTAAATATCGTATAAATGTGCTGATGATATCAAGGGAATCATGATTAGTTATCAGATATCTCATTGTTGCTGATGCTGGGAAATTATTAATAATGGAAGCATTTGAAATTGATGTAGTATATCTTGGAAGCAATAGATTTTCAATCCCATGTCTATTATTGTTATTAATATTCTTATTGCAGAATTGTTGCTGATGTGAATACTCGATCACATGAATATAAAATATGTAGATCCAGTTTGTGTTCATTAAATCAGCAGCCTTCAAATAACATCAACAAAAAAAAGAATTCTTTAAAATGTGACCCTATTCGGGACTCGTCATCTGGATACACCTGCATTCCTCAGTGAGCGATGGTGATCCAACCAAGGCTCGAACCCAGTGCCCATGGTTTCAAACTCCAAAGCGTAATCCATTTTGTTTGAGCCTTGATGGGGAACATCATCGCTCACTGAGGAATGCAGGTACATCCAGGTGAGGACGAGTCCCAACTAGGAGGAAATACACATCCTGGATTCCACTGCTAGTCACCATCCACCAGTTAACTTCTAAGTACATGCCCAGACAATGTCGAAGCATCTTCACAAAAGCCGACATGTCAACTTGAGACTGAGCAATTCGGTTGAGTCAGTCGGTTGGAAAATCTAAAATTGAATTAAATACGTATTAGATCACAGAAAAAATTAGAAAAAAGGGTAGCAGTGGAGAAAGTTTTCCTTTCGACGAAGTCATGAGATAGGCTTTACATTCGAGGATATATTTTGAAGATCCTGTACGAAGAGCAAATATGATTCAATAAAATCCACTGAAAATTCCGCACATTACATAAACATTGTTCAGAATAAAGCTATTACTATTAGCAGTGATATACATAACTCACGCTTCGTCTCGTTCATGACTCGTCAGATGCGTGTGCTTGCTGTCTTCAGGGATTCTTAGTATTCCCACTGAAACTCGAACCCAGTCGCCATCAAATCAAACACTAAAAGCATTATTCACAACGGTCATGACAGACATCTATTGTTGGTGTTTCTTTCTCTTAATCTTCATGTTTCTACTTACAAGTAGTTAGAATTTAACACAGAAATAATACGAAAAGTTAAGAAAAGACAGTGGCAGCAAAGAAAATTTTCTTTTCAACTAAGCCATCAGTTAGGCTGTACGTTGATGAATATATGTTGTGAATGGGTGAGGAAGTTCCAGAAGTATTTCCAATCGAGGGGCAAATTATAACGAATAACAAGACTATAAATATGGTTTCAAAACATAATAATAACAAAAATAAGCTCATATTCTTAGACAATAACCTGAATCCACGTCGCTCCCAAAAAGATTCTGCTACTGAATCTTGTATTGAAAAGTGATACTAAGGTAGAAATTCTCGGAAAATGGCTTCCAGAATCTTGCAGTAAAGCATACTTCACTGCCAGCCCACCAGAAACATTTTCATGCAAAAAAGTATCCGGCTTGTATGTGAAAGATAAGTTGTCATATTGGGTCAAATCATCATGCATATACCAGTTCACTAGCTCCTGTGGAGTTGAGTACACCATGTATCCACATATAAAACCCTCTTGGGAACACTGTCCAACTTAGCTAGCAGAGGGAGAGCGTATACGTGTTTATAGCTTGATAAAAGAACATCTAGCGAACTCAAGGCACTCAGCCCCAATTGAAAAGTCCTTCAAAGTTCTATGCAAAACACGATCAAACCCCTCAAAGGAAGTAAGATCAAGACACCTGGGTACATCTGAAGCATTGATGATCGAGAAATTCAAGCGGGCGTTATGTATGTGAAAAAGTAAATTCAACCTTTGTCTTTACCCTAGCTGTCTTAAACAGCAATTTCCTGATTTGATGCAAGACTGGACCTTCACTTTGCAGCATTTAATATGGATATGAAGCCTAGTATCGTTAATTATCTGAAATCCGACCATCTGTATATACATCGAATAAGAGAGACAGAGTCAATGAAATAACAATAGTAGTGCTTGTTGGCTATATTTCGGACATACGTTTTGACTGTTGAAAGTTAGCTCATCAACTGTGTACCTAGATGTACACTTAGGTCAGAGAATCGGATCAACTCAGAGTGTTAGTAGACTTATGAAAAACGATGGTTTGACTGAACTTCTGTAAATCCAATATCTTTGACCACACAGTTTATTTCACCAGACTATGCAGGGATGAAACTTAGTCTGCGGTTGGTGAATAATATTTCCATTTGACGACTCGAATTGATTGGTTACTTCAAGCACAAACCATGTGTCGTTATTCTTTACCTTAGCAATCGTAGATTTCTTCTAAGCGGTCCAGATCGATAATCCAATAGACAAACTTAAATCATACACTCATAAGAGCACAGAATCCATAAAATAGGATTTACCTAAGGCACGGTAGTCAGGTTGTGAGGTGTTAGTAGCTGAACACTGTCAAATACACAGTCACTCAGCGTTAATAAGTAAAATAACAAAGCTGTATCAATGGCTGATTCACAGTCAGATTAAACAGCGCGCGAATGCCAAGCAAAGAATGAAGGGTATTTATTTGTAATTCAATTTTTTATTTTCCCTTTGACTGATTGGAATAAAATGTCCGGCCTCTATTGACATGTTGGCCCCTTGTGTGGATGCTTCAACGATGTCTGATGATTGACTTGAAGTCATTTGATGGATGGTGACTAGCACAGTGGAATCCAAGACGCGCATTTCGTCCTATCTGGGACTCGTCAACTGGATGTACCTACATTTCACAGTGAGTGGTGTTGTTCCTACTTAGGCTCGAACCCAGTACCCATCGTTTCAAACACCAAAGCTTTATCCACAACTCATTAGGGAATGCAGTTACATCCGGCTGAATACTTCCAAATAGGAAGAAAAAAGCATCCTGGATTCCACTGCTAGTCACCATCCGCTAATGGATTAGAATAAACAGTGTTCAACAGAAAAGGGTATATAAACAAAGCATATAGTCTTTACCTATAAGAAAATAAATACTATATATATCAAGTAGAGTATTAGTAAATTGAGTTAAATTTCACTAGCAAACAATAATCATGGTTACGGTTTAAAAAAATAACTCGTACTACTTACTATACCAATAAGTAGTATAAATTTTAACACAAAAGATAGAGTAACAATGGTCAGATAAGAAAGGAATTAACAATCGTATTATTTGGAAAGGAAAAAAAGGTAGTGATCAGTGCATAACGAACACAAAATAATAATATTTTTTGGTTTCAATTAATTTACCTGGTTACTTTTAGCACTTGTTTGAAATGAATAACTGTCGACTATCCAACTTATCATATTCATTAGAATGCGTATACCAATTTCTGTTCTACTCCATTCATCCATTTTTGCAAAATATGACCAATTTATGAGGTGATTCCTTGAAGTCTCATTGGCAGCATATTTGCCTATGGAATTTTGATCATTAGTTGTATATTTGAAGGAATCTGATGATAGTGATGTATTAGTGATTTCATACATCTGCGTACAGGATGAACTGTTACCTTTATCCGTCCACAGTGAATTGTTCATTATTTTCGATAGAGCTAGAATGAAAGGTGAAATCATGTGAAAATTTCTAGTTTATGTAGTGAATCGTTTTCAGCGTGTACTGTTTACACAAGCGTTTGCAAGTGGACTGGATTATGTGGTAGACTATGGGGAGAGAGAGAGAGAAGAAGGAAATATGTTGGACTGACAAGAAGACTGTAGAAGATGTGGACTTCCCCGCCGCTTTATGTCTAATGTCAGATAAATATAAAGACTAACAGACTAGAACCAACAAGTTGGAAGGAGAGGGAAGCAGCGAAGGCAGAACTTCGAGTGAACATAGAGAAGACGGAGATGAAGGAGATAACCGACCAATCACTGTCAATGGTAGAAATTTGGAAGTGATCACCTCCTTCTTAATGTATGTGTAAAACTTGGGCACTGTGGTAGTAAATATCCCAGGATGTAGCAGATATATTCATGGATAGATGGGAAAACATAGTGATTGAAACGTTCACCCCCACCCCAAAAGTATGGTGGAGATATGTAGATGACACATTTGCTGTACTTAGAACACAAGATATAGATAGGTTTTTCCAACACATCAACTCGAAGGTGGAGGCAATTCAATTCACTTATGAATTGGAAAGTCAGGAAGGGGAGCTTCCAGTGTTAGATTGCAGTGTAAAAAGGAAAGAAGGTGGGAAGTTAAACACTAGTGTTAACAGGAAAATCACACATTCAAACAGATATTTGGACTTCCGATCATCCCATCCTATGTCAGTAAAAATAGGATCGGTGAAATGTTTAAATGACAGAGCACAAAACTAAGTAGTACCAAGAAAAATCTAAGACTGGAAGTCATACACATAAAAGAAGCTTTGAAACTTATTAATTACCCGGATAAATTAGTCAAGAAATATGTAGGGAAATATAAAAATGAAATAAATAATGATAGTAGTGTTAGTGATAGTGATAATAATAATATTAATGACTATATGCATGTCAAATATGCGCAAGAAAACACCAGCAATAAGGAATCTAAATCATCAGTAGTAATTCATTAAAAGGAAGGAACCTCGGAAACCTTACGCAGAATTCTTAACAAGGCAGGCAGGAATAAAAGTGGCTGGCATTCAAACCAACCACAAACTCAATTAGAAACAAGCTTTGTCGGTTAAAGGATCATGCTAGCGGAGCCTTTAAAACAAAACAATTTAGTTTATCCAGCTGGAATGATTGTCAGGTCAAATACATAGGCCAAACTAGTAGAACAGAGGCAGTCAGACTAGCTGAACATAAAAACTTAGCAAAATCTAGATTAGTTGACCCGAATAAGATAAGAAATCTAGAGAATTGTTCAGCTATAGCACTACATGAAGTTACACACAACCATAAAATAGGATGGGATAGGATGACAGTTTTAAAATCTAATGTCACAGGGTATAGGGAGAGATTGATAACAGAAGCTTTGTTTATCGAATCAACTACAAATACATGCAATAGGAATGATTCATCACCTGTCCCCTATATCTGGAAAATTCTACTCCCCCTACGACAAATAGGAGAGAACAAAGCAAACTATAAAACTCAAGTGTCAAAATCGTGTGATCACAATTTATATGATTATGAACAATAAATTCTGTTCGAAACGTCATCCAGTAAATAATACTGTTTCATTGTGTGATATATCTAATAAACAAACTAATATGATCACCTCCTCCAATTATCTAGCTATGTAGCATCGTTCCAACTACAGACAGCTGGCAAAGATGAGGATATCAAAGCCAGTCAGAATCGGAAAGGCAAAACAAACCTTGATTATTCTGAAATCACTTTGGAAATCTCATTCACTCAGTATCCGGAACAAAATTAGGATTTTCAACACAAATTTTAAGTTAATCAGTTCTGCGATATGGATCAGAAACTCAGAGCGTCACGAAACACCAGGATACCTTCGACTTTATATCAACGCCTGACTTAGCTAGATACTGAAGATCACATAGCCAGAAATAATTAGTAACAAGAAACTACGGGAACGAAGCAGTGAAAAACGTATTACGCAACAATTATGCACGGGAAGATCCAAGAGATGGGTTGGTTAAATGCTGAGGAGACCACTGAGTGACATTTTACACCAGGCCATAGAGTGGAACCCAAATGGGAAACAAGCAATGAGTTGCACGTGAGTTCTGCAGTGATATGGAGGAGATAATGTGAAAAGGACATGAAAATATATGGGGTCGGCCTAAACAGACTGAAGAAAACGTAGTGAAATGGAAACGTGTTGTTGAAACCCAAATGGAATTTTATTATTTATTTATTGCTCCCTTGGGTTCCTAGTGAAACATAGGGATTCAACTGCACACCTCCACTTGCTTCCGTCTTCCGCTGTACTTTTCACTTGCATCCATGTTGGTCCATGCTGTTTCATCTCTTCTTCACACGATCTCCTCCATGTCAGCCGCTTTCCTTTAAGGTTCCACTCGAGCGATGGCTTGACGCGCGATGTCACCCAACTGCCTCCTCAGCGAGTGTCCAATCCATCTCCACTTTCTCCTGCATATTTGGCGGGAGATTGGTTCTTGTTTTGTTTCTTCTCATAGTTTCTTGTTGGTGATTCTTTCCGGTCATCTGATCTTCAGTATAGAGCGGAGACAGCTGTTCATAAAGGTCTGCAACAGGCTGTTGGAAATATTCTTTGTGACCCGCCAAGTTTCTGATCCGTATAGAAGAACTGACTGACTTGACGTTTGTATTGAAAATCCGAATTTTGTTGTTGATGCAGGCTGAGTGACAGCGGAAGATTTCCAGATTGGTTTCAGGTTGATGAATGTGTTTCTCGCCTTCCCGATTCTCGCTCGATTTGACATCCTCGTCTGTTCCTCCTGTAGTTGAGACAATGCTCCCTAGATAAGTGAATGAGGTCACCTCTTTCAAATCCCTCCCGTGGATGGTGATTGGCGCTGGACGTTGCTGCTGTTGTTGTTGTTGGTTGGTTGGTTATTTTCATAACCTCCGTCTTGTCTATGTTCACCTTGAGTCCTGTCTTCTCTGGCTGCTTCTTCGACCAACCAGTTTGTCGGTTTTCGCTTGTAACGCTTCGATTTTGTGTGACATCAAACATAAATCATCCACGCGCGAAATCCAGGTCTTCTAGGTTTTTCACATCGGTCCAAGGTATCTCTGTCTTCTCGTTTCCCACTGTCTGACGCATAATCCAGTCGTGCACCACAATTAGGAATATCATTGGTGATAATAAGTACCCTTGTCTAACTCCTGTGTTTACTCCAAACGCCTCGCTTAGTGAGTTTTCCGTTGTGGATCACTTGACTCGCCTAGATTACTAGCTGACTAGTTTTCTAGCCGGTCCCAAGCCCGTATAAAAAGGGAGGGTTGGGACGTGGTGCTAGCAACTCCACCCCCAAAACTTAACCAAATCGCTACAGAAACTTCAACGCACAAATATATTAAAAATTCTAAAAAACAAATGTAATATTAATCAATAATAATAATAATCAGATCACTGAAATCATTCATCTTAAGGAGATAATCTGTCATAAAATTAGATTTGACTTCCAAAACAGGCTTTTGGTGACTACTTTTACGCAGTGTTCTTTTTTAATCTGAGAGCATATAGAAAGATGAGATGAAGTCAGTTTCCAGATGGCTCATTTAGTTGTCATCTAAAATGCAGGTGAAATATGCCACACCTACATAAAGTTACCTTATCAAATCCAACAGGAATATTATCTCACAAATTCTCACTTGACAAGTTACCAATCTCAGCTAACATGACGCTTGAAAGAAGAACAATAATGATAATGATAATAATAGTAATCACGGACACCAATCTAATTGATATTGTGAATAGGTAAGAAAGATTTTGACACCTGATATGGTTGAAAATAGCTCTCAGTTTTCCAAAAGTGCTTAATCAAAATCAGTATTTTCATCTCTCAATGTTCTATTCTTTTTTCTTCATTTGAAAATGATACTTTAACAGCTTATGCAAAATGAAATCACTCTACTTTATGGGGGGATGATAAACACGATTGGAGTAAACACAACCACATGCTACAAGTAGATGTCGTCAATTTATGCATAATCTGAATTATTCTTGACATTTACTATCGATAATATTAGTGACATATTAGGATATTTGATTTTCTTGTCACCATACAAATTCACTGAATAATTACCATTCATGTAGATTCATTATACACATAGTATAGAGTTTAAGATGAGACTTCACCAGAGGTTACTTTTATTATTACTGTTCCCTTCAGTTCCTAGTGGAACCCAGGGCTTCAACAACACTATTCCACTTAGTCTTATTCTCTGTAGCCCTCTTCAGTTGGGTCCATGACTGCCTATAATCTCTCATCTCCCCCAAGTTACACTCAGATACACGACTGATTCATTTCCAACTTGGAATTCACTCTAAGTCTGGCCTGGTACACGATTTCATCAGACTGTCTCCAAGGGTGCATGTTCCATCCATCCATCCATCTCTATTTTCTTCAGAATATTTGTTGAACTCGAGTTGACCAAGAAGTAATTTGGAAACTACTCGAGTACTACGGCGTATTCAGGCGTGAGGCCAGCAACCCCACCCTGTAAACAAACCTGCTACAGAAACTTCAGCGTGAACAATCTCCTTGCGTCAAAAGAAAAAGTCTGTGTGGGGACATGGAATGTCCGCACCATGTACGAGACTAGCAAAGCTGCCCAGATCGCAAGCGAAATGAGAAGATACGGACTACAAGTATTGGGGATCTGCGAAAGCAGATGGAACGGAAACGGACTCACCAAATTGTCAACAGGTGAGTCAGTGATTTACTCCGGTCACCCAGAAGACAACCACACACACACCGAGGGCGTGGCTATCATGATGTCACCAACGGCAACCAAGGCTCTGATACAGTGGGAGGCGATCTCACCCAGAATAATGAGCGCCAGATTCAACTCCAAAGGAAGAAAAGTGTCAACTATACAATGCTATGCACCCACAAACAACGCAGACCTCGAAAAGAAAGAAGAATTCTACAGACAA